CCTTCTCTCTCCAGCAGTCGACATATGAACTTAACTGAATTTTTTGAGATATCGTTTTGACTAAAGATCCCTACAAAATATTGAATACTGAATACACAACTTACACACTAATTGACATGATATGGAGTTAAAATATTTATACCTCACTAACAGGGAAAATTTGCTGCGGATGTTGAGTTGGCCAACTGAAATCTGACATCTCATTGTTCAACAATATACTGCTATTTGTCATAACGGCACTACCAAATCGAGTATTCACAGTCCTGTTGAAAAAATCAGTTTTGAATCACCATAAATTATGACAAACCATAATATCTTATGACAAGTCACTATCAATGGCATAGTCCCTGTTGGTATTATAATTGTAAGACGCATATATATATAACCAGAGGTACATTACTTGGGGTTTGCAACTCGCATAGTACTGTATGGTGACATCATGTCAAGATCCCATTCAAGACTCTTCTCGTAGATAGCGAGACTGAGGCTACGACCTTCTGACATGACACATATCAATGTTCAAGGTTTGTAATGAAAAAATAAAACTTTTCTTGTCACTATCGTAGTGAAAAAAGAAATACATCGAAAATGTACAGAAAATATAGTTCTCGTAATCCGTCATATCGTGGGCAGCTATTTTGATCCACCTGGACATCCCAGTATCCTAGTTACCTCGGGCATGCGCATTCGCATTTTTCTGAGTTGGAACGCTTATGCGAAAGCGAGATTGTGACGGGATCTTGGTACCATGTCACCATAGTTACAAACCCCAAGTAATGTACCTCTGATATAACCTAATGTGCAATGTATGTGTGAAGTTTAAACTTGATTGGGATATGGCTCTGTGAAAGAAGATGACCACCAGTCAGCCATTTTGAATTTGGTGGTGACAAAAATGTATGTACATTTTGATGTCTGATGTATGTGTGAAATTTGAACTTGACTGGGCCAAGCATGTGTGAGATATGTACCTGTCCATGGCCATAAAGTACATACTACAAACAAAAATACAATAAAGGCTATTGAGCAGGACAAAAACTTACATTCATATTTTGACATAAAGTAAAGGAATCTACAACTAAATTTAGGGATTTGTTTTGTTTTAAATTTGAATGTCTTGCACTTAGTAATAGTACATATAATATACAACTGTAAAACAATATACTGTAGAATACTTTATTTTTGCTTGGAATTTATTTTCGCTATTTTCTCTGAAGGGATGATTCCGTGAAAATAAAATCCGGTGAATATACATTTTTTCCTATATTTTCCATTAATCTCATCAAAAATCAGTGAAAATAAATTCCAATGCAAAACGCCCAAAAAGCCTTTTCAGCGAAAATAAATTCCAGCGAAAATAAAGTATTCCACAGTAAATATAAGAACAAGGATAATATTAAATATGCAAATGAGACACTGAGTATGTATATGGCCACAGGGGCCCGATGACTTGTACATGGCTATTGGGCAGTAGTACTGCATGTGCTGATCAGGTAGTAAATATGGTAATGAGAAAAACAATTTAACTAAATATGTTAATGATTTATAAACACACACTTTCTTATGGTGGGAAAACTATATAGAAAATCAGATTATTAATGCTATACAGGAATGAATATCAAAAGGGTTACTACTTACGTTGTGACAGCGACCATGTTGCCTTCACTATCTTGAACAGTAACAGTTGCAGTACCATGTGATTGAGAAGGAAAATGTGGATCATAGTGATCTGGGTCAAATGTTTTGTCATCATTTATTTTGTTTCTTATCTTCAACGCATTTTCTTTGCTGTAAAATATTTCACAGATTTACATGAATTGGATTTTAAGGAGGTTTGGACTGATTTGAAGATTTTGTATAATTGTTTTCATTCTTGGTTAGGATGCCATTAGAATATCTAAAATGCTACCAAACAGAACATATATAGGCAAGAATTGTTGTTCTTGAGGATAAAGATATTACTGTAGAATACTTTATTTTCGCTTGGAATTTATTTTCGCTATTTTCGCTGAAGGGATGATTCAGTGAAAATAAAATCCAGTGAATATACTTTTTTTCCTATACTTCACATTAAACTCATAAAAAATCAGTGAAAATAAATTTCAAGCAAAACGCCCAAAAAGCCTTTTCAGCGAAAATTAATTCCAGCGAAAATAAAGTATTCCACAGTATATGCATTCAGACAATTCTTTATTTGTAACTATTTGGGTGTTCAGGTAGAAGCATACTCAATCAAAGAA